CACTGGCTGTTGACCTGTAAACATCCAAAGCATTAAAACACATAAAAAAAGTATTAAGTAGGTTTTTATTTCATTATTTATTTTAGACATGTCAATATAATTATTTTTATTTATTTATGAAACTGAATGATGAATTTAGAACTTTGAGCTTCAAGAACACATTAAACAAGAAACTAATAAATGCTAATTTAAAGCAAATAATAATATAATAAGAATATGATTTATTTTTCAAAATTATGTAATAATTCATAATTTGCGAATTATTATAATACGTCATGGAAAAATTATAATTTTCATAATAAGAACGCACTGTATAAAACCAAAAAAATGAATTAATTTTTTTTTTTATAAATATAAAATATATTTTAGTTAATAACATTATATGAAAGTAAACAAAAAATATAAAAAATAAATTTTCCAGCAAGGTTTGAACAACTTTTCCATTAAAATTAAGTTGAAATATATTTCAAATTTTCTGTTTTTACGGATATATAAGTATCATGTAAAAAAAATCGATAACAGGACATCGTGTGCAAGTCTAATAACTCAAAATTCCATGAATCGTCAACACAATGCATTTAAACACTTAAATCATAGTACACGAAACGTTTGTGTTTAAAAATTATTCAGGACGAGTTGTTAGGGAAATTTTTATTTTTAAGCTCAGCGTGCCTTGTTTAATCTGTTAGAGGGGCGTACGTCGAATATTCAAGATAAACGAAAAACAACGACGTGTCTCTCACATGAACGGACACTATACGTTTGAGTTATAAATTACAAAAGCGCTACATGCTGGACAAATGGTGGATTAAACGATTAAAACGAAATATTCTTATTATGGCCGTTTATCAAGTCGGAACACGTCACACGTGTAGAAATATTTAAAACGGAAACAATGAAAATCCAACTGAGTGATATAACACTGCAAGTACGTTTGTGGTTGTGTATAATATTATGTATTTAATATTTATACCTCGTCGCGGTCAAAGAAAATCCTCTTAAAAATTAATGAGCAGCCGTGAAATTTTAATTTTGGTTTATATTATTACGTTTTTTTCGCTCATCAGTTATTGTCTGATAGATAATACATTTTTTGATACCGACCGAAGCATGCAACGTATCATTCTTACATGGAAGTATTATATTTTTATTATTTATGGGCGATGGCAATTTTTTTGAAAAGAAGAAATTGATTTAACAAATAATTATTTGACTGACAAAGGTATAGAATAAATAAATCACAGATATAAGTACACACAAATTGAATACGTTTTTATAAGTTTTTTTCCTAACAATTTTCAAAAAATAAACTACTATTTTTTTTCTTCTTTTTGATAATAAAAACTACTGTATGATTTTTTGTTATTTTTAAAAACTTATTAAAATACATTTTTATTTTTACTACTTATACAAATTACAAATTATCAATCTTAAGATATTTTCACACACCACAGGTTGGGCACTCCTGGATTCATAATTTAAAACTAGTTAATTTCATATAAACACCGAGTCAATGCTGATCTGACAATAAAGATATTTATGAAATAAGATCGATATGATACATTTTTTCTCTTTTTTATTATTTTTAATTAATTCATAATATAAAATATAGAAATATTACGTGCCCACATATTATAACCAATTGTGGGCATATATTTATCAATACATATAATATATTGGCGTTGGGTTAAAATATAGTATTGTGGTTATGACATCATTAAGTGATGGAAAAAATATCACAAAATGCAAAATGCAAAAATAATTAAAACGATATTTCTATTAAGAACGAATGATATAGATATTATTTACATGTAATAACTATAACAATAAACATTGCTCTATAATATCAATAGTAGTATTAATTATTATTTACCTATAATTTTTTATGACGTTTCGATAATTTACGTCATTGACTAATAGGATCAAAGTCTATTTGCGTTTAGTGCAAAAACAAATGATACATCTAAAAACGTGCAGACTTTACTTGGTGCAATATATTTAAACTAGCTGACAGTAGACATGTTTTATTTATTACATGTTAGAATATTTATAAACTTGAGTGCATAATAAAGTTCAAAGAAATAAATAATTGTCATATAGTGTAGTGGGTACAAGTGTACAACAACTTTTTATTGTATTCGATTTTATAGTTTTCGTATGATTAACAACTCTAATTACTTATATTCATACTTTGTTTGAAATTCCTATGTTTTTGAGAGTGCTAGAAAGACAATTCTTGTTGTTACAGTTATTAAATTTCTTTTGTCGTAAAATTTAACTTAATAATACACACAAACTCACAAAAAGAAATAATAATTAAAAACAACATTATATTATGTTGATCCTTAAAAATTTTTAATTTTCCATTTTTTTAATTATTATAGTGCATAGAAATAAGTTTTACTCTTAAAATACTCATGTCCAGTGTAGTTCACCACATTTCAGACAAGAATTAAAAATTTACATACAATACGAAATAGATTGCTTAAAATAGCTGTAAAAGCCTTCTGGTTCGTATGTAACAAATAGGCCCTACATAACGCCGTTCTCAAAGAATTAAATCAAAGACCTACTACTCGAAAAAAATTACTCTAGGTTCAATTTAACTGAATAACCTATCTAAAACAAAATTTGATAAAAAAAACACAAGACACCTGACTGAAACCGCGCCTTCTCCGTAATATCCGGTTATCTCTCTCTTAAAATTAATTGATTTAAGTACATTATAAAAACATAAACATGCGTCAAAACAGCTAAATAATCAAATAAAAAGTATGCTAAGTCGTTCATAGTAATACACAAGAGATTTTTTTTTGTTTTAACAAAAATAATTTTTCATTTTTAACTAAAGTTGTATTTACAATTTACAGTAAACCAATGAAAATCGAGTTAACTTATAATTTACAAACTAGTAAAGTGGTTACGCAACATTTAGATGTTGAGTATTTCATTGTCAAAAACCTGAAACTAAATAATACTAAGTATACTATTATAGTATTATGTTATGAAATTCGTTATGGCAGTAATTTACTCATACGAAACTGTGAGCAAAAAGAGTATGTAGTTTTAAGTCACAAAAAAAAAAAAAAAAATACAAATATTGGAACGTTTGCGTACAGAAAGGCAGAGTTTTAGCGGAAAATTGAAAAATTTGACACTGAAACTCGCAGACGATGGATATTGTTTCAAACAGGGCCATTTCGGACACGTCTGCTCCTACGTACCTATAATATATAACACATGTCATTGTTTTGATTATACTGATATGTTGTGTGTCAAAAATAATATACATTATAATGTATTATGTTTCTGTTTTGTCGTCGGTTAAACAAGAAAAATATTTTTCTCGTTTATTCACGTTTCTGTTTACCTCGGTCATGAGTTAGTCTAAACGTATAACTTCCGTAGAGTCATCTGCAGAATATGTTTGATGCTCTTATTACAATAATTGCAATACCCATACAAGACTATTAAATATATACGATTTAAACTGATAGGAAATGCGTATACAACAATAATAATATTAATAAAATAATAATACAAGTAATTAGAAAATGAAATAAGATGTAGACGCAATGAGACTGCTTGAGTCAATATGTTGGCCAATAGGTACATTTATAACTATTTAACAGTATAATTTCTTGATTGTCAATGATACTTACTAAGTATAAATTAATTTTTTTTTTTCAATACTTATATTATTAAAGTAAACACTATTATACATTAAAATTGATCACACAAAACAGTCCATAACATGTAAAATATTATAAAATATTTTATCTCAATATTACTGTTACAAGTTAATTACAAATATAATATGTAATTTATTTGTAACTGGTGTTAAATCATGTATATACTACATCACAATGAAGATTTATTTGTTCATTCTATTTAAAATTTCATAAAAAACTAAAGACTTTTTTACTTATAAATATGAATTAACCATACTTATATAAATTTATTATAATTTTATTCTAAAATGTATTGAAAAATTAAATTATGATAATAAATAAAAATAAAAATGTGTTGAATGAATACACTTTTAAAATACACCTTTAAATATATAATTTATAATATATAAAAAATGAATAAAATAATAATAATAAAAAAAATAAATGTTTTGCAACACACAATATATATATGAGTTTTATCCATGTTTAATTTCGGGCAATACTTTATACGTGAATTATGCTTAATTTTCGTGCATATTCTATATTTATTTTCAACAAAAAGCATTAATCAAATTTATTAAAAATTAATAAAAAAAAAAAAAATATCTTACGCATAAAACCTACAATTTTAAAATTTATGATAAATTAATTAACTAAACTTTTTTTTTTTTTTTAGTAGATTTCTGGTATATCACAAAAATATGAAATTTTAAATTTAATTGCTTATTTTTTATAAGTTAGATAGTTATTTTTTAATTTCTCATTATTTTTAATAATAATTTAATACGTGTAAAAACGTATTTGATAAATCAGATAACTAATAATGATATACATATATATATAACAGGTACATCTAATATAAGTACCTATAAAACAATTATAATTACAAAGTTAACATTTAAAATCTTAATAATGAATACCAGTTTACGAATGATTTTACCTTTAAAGTAAATATTAATGTAAAATAAAAATAATTAAAATTGATATATATTACAAAATCAATAATTTACAAAAAAATATGGCACACAATTATATGGACTGGACTTAAATAAAAATATATTTACATATTTTTGTCGTGAACAAATAAATATCAGGAAAGCAAATATGATGCCTATAAAAAAATTGTGTTAATGGTGATAAATAATGATTGGACTAAGAGAATGATTCGAGTTCTAGGTAATAAATGATACGGTGTATTATAAATATTTATAACATGACAATTTCAGAAAAATAAAAACATGATTTGCTATAAAATTTATTTTATTGATTATGGTACTCAAAACATCTTAAAAAATTAACTATATCACAATATAGTATATAAAGTAATAAATCATTAAAAATTTTAAATAATTTTCAAAAAAAACTAACCCATAAATGTAAGTTTTATTTTATTTTTTTGACAGAAAACTGAAGAAACCATAACTATTACCACTGCATGGTGCCAATGAAGCCACTTTGACATGTATAATAATATCTAAAATCACAATAACAAATTAAAAATATTCTAAGAACATAAATAGTATTTTATAAAATTTAACTAATGAGGAAATACGCTCTGATATATAGTCGATATAAAGTTTACCTCGTCATCAAGTAATGCACTGCTATGGGTTAAAATTTTATTCAACTAAATCATTGCATTCGAACAATAATTCTGATCAAAAACCATCTATTAGCCTTTATTTTTAGGAAAATAAAAATATATTTGTATTGCTTTAAGTTATTTATTTTTCTATTGATAGATATGATAGATTTATAATTATTATAAATTTATCATATGATTATAATAGATCATATAATAAATCACTTTTGGCAAAAACTAATTGTATTTCAAATAGCAGTACTTAGTAACTATAAACTCATTATAAATTATAAACATATATTAATATATACATAACACCTTCTTAGTAATAAAGGCTGACCAACTGTCTCCGTTTCTATATGCAGTGGTTTATCATCGAATTTAAATAATTCAACACATCCATTACAGTCCATTACACACATTACATCCATTAGTCAGTGACGAGGTACACTCGACGCCTACTATATAGCAGAGCGAGTTCTCTGGTTATTAATTTTTATTTTTCTCCATTATTTCAAAAAGGTCTTAAGATTTATTTCCTTTTCTCTTTCCTAATGTATCAACTAGATCCAATTTCTTATAAGAACCTTAAAAGTTAAAAAATTGAAGAATTTTTCATATGATACAATTTTTATTTAGCACATACTATTATCATTAAATCAATACGATCACCTCTCCGCTCAGAGTTTAAAAATATATGAGCACAATTTAAAACTAAAGCAAACAAATATTTTTGTCCTTTTTAACTGATAATTTATGTATTATCTACTTTAATGTTTTATTTACAGGTACAACTGATAACAAACCCCTGTGGTGAAAGTGTTCAACAATCTATTCTATTAAAATATAATATCACATGATTGAAACTATTCGGTTAAAGATTACTATACTAATCCGATTAGACAATAATAATATGTCATATGACAAAAAAAAAAATCGTTGATCGTATTGTACAATAATACCGTATGATATTTACGACTTATAGTGTAATCAATAAAGGACACAATTTCAATCTTTAAATGATTATTATATATAATTAAATATCATATAAATGACCATCAAGTATGATACAGTTGCTTTGACAACCTGTCAACTAATTCCAATCATCAAACCGAAAATTTAATTAGACCCATTGTAAGTATAATAGGTAAGAGATAACCATACTAGTAGGAAATAATGTACTGTTGTGTGAAAAGAGATTTCGCCGTATGCATTTTTTTAATTATTTTATTTGATTAATACCTATTTTATGTAATCGATTATTATAAACAGCTGATTAATATGCAAGTTGAAAAAAGACATAAAAAAAAAAAACAAATTTTTTTGTAAAATTTATTCCAATTGTTGGGAATTCTTTAGAATTTTTGATATCTTTGATTTATTTAAAATCTTTTTTATCTACCTACGAGGAAAAGAATCATTAGGTAGCTAATTTGTTCTAACTCCAAAAAATTCATATAAAATAGGTCATAAACTTATAATATATAGTAATTTAATCAAACAAAAAACAATATTTAATTTAACAAAAATATCATCAAAAAATATAAAAAAAACTAGTAATTTTATTATCAATAATTATGGATATTGTGATTAAAAACAAAAATAATTAATCATGTACAATTATCCATTATCATAATTCAGTTCTCTGATGTCGATTTATACCAACCTCTTGATCAAAGTACGTATGTTATTTTAGCAACAGCCACATCCACAACCACAGCCACAGCCACAACACTTCTTTTTGCATGGAGCTGACACAGATGTTTGGACGTACATTGATAATATCTAAAATTTTAAATAAAAATATTTAAATATTTATTTTTATCGAAAATTCCTTATTAGCTTATACTATAAATGTTATTTTATTATATATTTAAATTTCTTATAGTTAATTTTCATTTTTTTTATTAGCAATAATTAATTAGATAAGTTAAAGTAATTTTTAACAAAAAATAAATAAATAAAATAACATATTATATAATAATTATTTCAGACTAATTCTGGGAAATAATGTCCCATTAGTACTATAAAAGTATACAAATTTACACTGACACATTAAAAGCTACGATGAAATTAATTTTGTGCTACCTAACTATAGGATGGGAAAAAGATGATAATTCACCTCTGATAGTATTAGAAATTATGAAGCTAAAACTTTCGTCATATATGAAGTTTTAAGGATCGCTTTATTTTAAATTTCGAATAGAGCAATAAATGAATTTAATTTACAGCGATTTGTAATAATTGATTAATTTTATTTTTATATTTGTGATCACATTTTAGGGTTTTGATTTTCAACTTTAAGTGTGGTATCTGGTAGAAAACTCCGTTCAGTAAGTACTAAGGGGGGTCGTAGTGAAAAAGTTTGTTGTACTTTTCATAATAATCAGAAATAACAAAAAAAAAAAAAAATAATAATAAATAACACGGGAAATATTATCCAAAAATAATAATAATTAAACAAAATCTTATTTTCTTAGTGTAAATAAAAGATGAATAATCATAGATGAGTACTTGAAATTTTTACCAAATATTTATTTTAAAATTCTCTATATACGAATATTTGACTCCTTTTTAGCTATTTTTTTGTAATTTTTTTATAATATAAAAATATTATTCATAGATACTTGAAACTTAAAATATATATTGTTATATTTTATATCATCTAATATGACATTTTAAAATCAAATATTTTTGACAAAAAATAATTCAACTTACCTACTACTTTATTTAAAGTAAAATAAATAGCTCAATGTTTTTACTCCCTCCACTTTGGAATTTTGAAATAAAATTAACTCCATTCATTTATCATTTGTTTGTGCTAGTTTATGTTTATAATCCTATCATTTGTACTTTATCCCTTCCCGATATATACAACTTTAAAAGTCTGGTGCTGAAATGTGCTCCCAACTACTTCTCTTTGTAAAAAAAAAAATTAAAATACTTTGTCTTGTGAATCTGATAATAACTGTTCACATAATCATTTTTTTGTTTACCTGGTTTGCCAAAAAAATCTAAACCCTTATAGATCAGAAAATAGTTTTAATTTTTTTAATCTACTGTAATTTTCGAAAATAAAAATAATATTTTTTATTTAACGATTAAACGTATAGCCTAACACAAAAAATATAATAATTGTGATCCAGAAGATACTTTAAATCTATTCTATGAATTTCAGAAACTCAAACCCATGTGGATTAAAAAATAATTTTTTTTACAAGTGCCTAATTTTTAAACTTTAATAGTTCGAAGATTGAAAAAGAGTTTGTAGTTCACATTAAAGTTTTTGTATTTTATTCGAGCACTGTGCTAAATACTTGAAAATCACTCCGAGTATAATAAATAATGATGAACACAATAATGAAAAATTTTTAATTTTCATTTATAACATTTTTTGATTTACAACAATTAAAATCATTATTTTTCGTTTAAATATCAAACAACTTATGAACTTCAAATATATAAAAAAAATATTGAGCTTGTTAATTTTTGGTATTATTTAATTACTATAAAGTTAATTTATTTAAAGTACTGTATTGATTTTTTAATATTAAGGATTTTATTTAGTTTTTTATAATGTATACTTTTTTGAAAGAGTTATGATCATGTAAAATACTAAAATATACAAACGCTCATAACTCGCTTAAACATTCAGAGATCTCACATAATTTTCTTAACTTTTTAAGTTTGATTTTAGGTTATTTACCATCAAAGGTAACAAGCGAGTAACAACACAAAATCGGCTCTGCCGAGCGAAAATTTGCTATTTCGTTAATTTGTAAGACGGAGACGACAAACGAAGTCTCCTCTTGGCAATTTATTCCAATCACCGGAACATTGTTTTAGTTATAAAATCTTAGTTATTCAAAAGACTAATATTATTATTATTATATATACAACCGACGAATCTGAAAACGCTATTGAACATGATCGACACTGACTGAATATATCGCCACCACTCTATAGTGTTTTATCGCTTACAAGTTACAACGCGATTATCAATATATAATACTATGTGCCCTGTAAAACACAGAACACGACCAGTGACGTAGCGCATTAACATTTTCGACTCCTCTGGGACCGCGTCGATTGCTAGCGGCTGGTCACCAACAAGCCTCCGCGCGTGTATAAACACTATGCGTGTCGTATGGGAATAATTCATGAGTCTTTAATTATTTTTTTCCATTAAACAAGCCATTTTATTATTATTTAATTTTTTTCACACGCCACGCACGTAGTGTTATTTATAATAATACAATTCGTAGACGAGACGCTTGCGCCGGAATGACCGATGGTCGTCAGCGGGTTTATTAAATAGTAAATACCAATCCACCATAATACTATAGGTACTACGAAACGTCCGTCGAAGTTTTCAGTAGCATAACTGAATAAAAACTAGCGATAAAAATATTACACTTGTCAAAATTGAAACCATAACTTAATTGTTTGTTTTATAGTTAGAAACAAATAGTAGATTATCCATATCGTTAAATGATATAAAATAAATAAAAGTTCAAAAAAAAAAAAGTGATAAAACCTGTTTAATATACATTATTTAATGATAAATTATGAAATAATATTATTAGGTTATTTTTGTAACCACAATAACGTTAAAGATACGTTCACATTATCCAACACGAGAAACATAAAATAAATGCTGGTATTAAACAATAATTTAAGGAAAAAAATTTCTATTTTATAGAATTTATGTTAAATTAATTCTTTCTTTGTTTTAGAAAATTCAAAATATTTTTACTGTTGATATATCTGATTGCGGGAGCAAAATAACACCTTTGTCCCACCATAAATCAAGCTAGATGTAGAAACAATGTGGCACCTTTATGGGACAAGAGCCTCACTTACGAAACATTTTTTTAATTTTTATTTGTAGTAATAATCCAAATTCTTTTTCTATTAAGGTAAATTGAATCTTGAATAAAAATAATAATATTTATTTATTTGAAACTCGAATTATCGTTATCGTTTCGGAATAAGATTCAGTTTTTCTAAAAATTTAAAATAATGAAACTCAATGCACCTAATCCTCTTAATTTTGATCTACGCTTCAAAACTATATCCAGTCGTACATTGATTTTATGATTGATATTTGCAATTTTATAATATGTACAATCTTTCTCAATTCTCATTAATTTAATGTTTCTGAAATATTTCGGAAAACGTTTCGAAATCATTATAACTCTTTTCATTGAATGTTTATATATTAATTCAAAAGATTAGTAACATCTTAAATTATTTTTCAAAAAATCCTAAATATCCCAAAATAGAGGTATGCTTAATTTTAATTAAAGTAATAAATTATTACTAAGCAACAAATTGTTCATAATTTTAATTTTGTTATAAATTATGATTGTAATTTATAATATATTCATAATTTTTTTTTTACTTCTTCATATAAAAAAAAAGTAGTTTAAATTAAACACATTTAAAAATTATAAAGTAAAGCTCCCAACAATAAAAACTTCTAATTCTATCGATAAGACGTTGTTATGATAAAATAACAATAAAAAAAAAAAAAAGAATTATTTAGCTAAGGCATTACAGCGACTATCCGCACATACATAAACAATCATTTAAGTTAATAAAAAATATATTACCAGGGCCACGACGATCAGTGACCACTTCCGGATCTTGGTAACGCTAACGTACCGATCCATCTTATTACCGTTTCTACCAAGGTTGATGTACGTCTTCGTGTATACACTACCTATTTACGTGCACATAGTTTGATATTATGTTCTCAAACAGTTCAAGTGATACGCCGACGATGTGTATAATGTCCCGGAGCATATTTACGCGTTCATTTTATACCTGCTATACATGGGTTTAAGCATGTGTCGCCTGTGAGTGTATCAATAATATTGTCACGTCAATAATGCAAATAAATTCCAATATTGACATTTACTGTGGGCTGTCGAAATCGTTGTAGATTCGGGTCGCAAGTGTCACGTCATTCTCACTTCGGGTAATCGAGACTTTGTGATGGTAGGCCGGAGTTGCATTAAAATCCCGGACTTAACACTTTGTTTCAAGACATACCTACAACCGAAATCAGTACTAACCTAACCCTAGCGACAGCGATCGCGTACAACGATAATATAATTAAATGGCTAGCTGTATTACCCCGTGTTACCCGGGACTAGATAAAACTGAGGTGAACAATCCACCTGCGGCAAATAGTAATGACTAATATTTTACGTTTCACAATAAATTTATAGTAGAAATAAACGAATACCTAGTATGCGGTTATGGTTTAAATTTGATTAATAGCAGATAAGCTATACTCAAACCTTACTTGCCCAATCAATTATCTAAACCTTTGAAGCGTAAAAATCAGTCGAGTATTTTTTGACTCCAAAAGCCTCCTAGGCCACATACTTTGCCTTTTATATTATATAATAACTGTTACTCGTGGCTATTCTATTTTAATATTCTCACGACCCACCCCAGGATTACAGATAATATGTGTGCAAAATTTGGCACCCATTAGTCAAAAAATAATTATCGTTAATATATAATCATAATATAATGTATATATAGTTTACATAGATTAGGCTAATATTTGTATTAGCCAACTATCTATTATAATTTATAATGTAGTTTTATTAAGCTATAAATAAAATAGGAGTAATTGTTTGACATTGATAATCGTGTATATATTTTAAAATATGAGACTAATGACATAATTACAACAATAAATAAATAATAAAATATATGCTTAATTTTTGTGAAATAAAACTATGCTTAACTTATTAATAAGTAGTGAGTCATCATAAATATTAGGTATTTATAAAGTATATTTATATAACGTGTTACGCAAAAACGATATGTATTAGTTTTAAATAGATTTTATGTTTCGGAAAAATATTGACATGCCTACTATAAAGTAAAAAAATGACTGAATATAATTTTAAATTTATTATTATAAATAGTTTTATTTTATTATTACATAAGTTATGTATTGAAATCGACAAAAATTTTCAGTACAAATTCACAATAGTATTTTACTGTCAAAACAATTATTACGTTTTAATATAACTAATATAATATTATAATAGTGTAATAAATGTTCATCTTGTACCAGATAATCATTAAAACAATAGCTTGAAAAAAAATATTAAATATTTTTAATTTAATTTTTTTTTTTTATTTATCTTATTTAATACTAGCAACTAAAGTCATTAGCTGTGCATAGGAACAGTAGGTTTTTTTTTATTGAACTTGAGCCCGGCGACTAGGGCCATTAGCTGTTGTAGGGGTTTATGAACTATGGTTAGAGGTAAGGTTGGTACAGGTAAGTTGTTTTTACGATTGTTATGGTTTTTATGGTTGATAGCAAACACGTGTATGTGTGGCAAGGTTTTTAACCACTACGAGCCCGGGTGGTCACCCATCCGGGAACTAGTAGCTGTGGCCGTTACTTACTCCCAGTCGCATTCCGCGACTGGCAACAGCCAACGTACCACATCAAACCACAGTAGGTTTTTTATATAAGGTTTATTTGTAAGGTTTGATTAGTAGGGCTGAAACACGTGTGTGAATGTGTGTGTGCCATGGATTCGTCACTAAGAACTCGAGTGGTCACCCATCCGAGAACTAGCAACGCCGGCCAATGCTTGTCCTAAGAACACATAGGTGATCGAAACCAATTACTGCGCCACACCAGCCCACATTAAATATTTGTTCTATTTGTTACAATTCAAAAGTACATATAACATAAAATCATCTTTAAATAATTTTTTCCGTAACACATGTACTTCGATCCGATTTTGGTATTTTCTGATGGCTAATGGATCTCTTAATTTATTGTCGGATGATAAACGAAAAATATTAGTCATGTATTTATTCACCACCTGCGCAATCAATTCTTTAAATAAACATGTTTAATCGAAGTAAACACGTGTGTCGTGTACCTTTTATAAACATTTAAAAATCATAAAAAAAAAAAAACCACTTGTATGCTCGGGAGACGCAGTAAGTTTTGTTTATCATAAAAATCAAAGTGTATGTAACAGAGGTATACAAAACAAAATTAAACATTTGAAAAATATCATTTTATTTGTATAATTGAAATTAAAATTATACGATCGTTTACCATTGTTACTGACCTAATATTTTTCACGGGCAACTATCCTACAGTAAAAATTGATTCAAATATATAATATTATTCTTTGACATTTATTTAATCATAGTTTCAACTTCAATAATATTAGAGCAGCGTTGATGTTTGGGTTATAATAATTTTATTATAAATAAAACTAAAAAAAAAATGCACAAACATTCTACAAAGAAATAATAATATCATTAAAAACTCTTAACGATTTTTTTGATCGCGTAGGTTAGGTTACTATGAAAAACGAATATGAACGAGAATTGGCATTCGATAATTTCCAACAAAAATCGGCAGCTTTTAAAACATAGACTTCTTTATCATCAATGTGTGTTAAGTGTTATAAATTAAACTTGTTTTACTACGTCTTGAACCATATTCATCTCTATTCGTTCATATATTCTCATTGAATAATAACATCCAAATAATACTATAATTTTGATGAAACCTTCTACATTAATATATAATAGTATAAATATTTAAATAATTTTGTGAACTAAAAATACAATTATACTGTACTCAAAGGTTCGAGATGCATTTTTATTTATCGACGATTTTATTGGTCCGCCATTAAACTAGTAAATTTGTGCAAAATATGCAAAATATTGTTAAAACTATAATCGAATTTTAAACAAAGATAACTTTAAAAATTAAGTGACATTTTCAAATAATTGAAACTGTATTGTGTTATAATCTAGAATTTTTTGATTTATTTTTTACCACATAAATGGGGTAGTGAGAAGTGTGAAGTGATGAGTGTGCGTGAAAAGTATTATTTAATATAGGTACCTAGGTTAGGTTTGATTAATAAAGTCGCCTTCAGACCTCCAACTAATATTTTTAATGGTTTAAAACAAACCGTTAACAGACAGTGTACACATTCATAATGATTTGCCATTTTATTATGACCAGCAAAAATTATATCATTACTAAGTAAATATTTTAGCTTCATTTTAACGATATTGGATTAGTGTAAATATTTAATAATAATAAACGATGAAACTTATCAAACGCGTAGACGCTATTATTAAATTCCTGCACATATGAGCACATATTTAATTAACCTTTTATGGACGGAAAAACAAACTTTATCGGAGGAATAATAATACACAATAATCTAGCGTTAAATCGCATTAAAAATTATTTTAGCCCCTCATTTGATCGTTGGCGTAAAACCATAAAAATTCTAAGTACAAATTTCCGGAAAATGTTGGCGAATAACGATGCGTGTAGTGACTTATCGTTTGCGTCATCAAACGTTATCAAATCTCATCGCAAAAATAGTGAATGACGTAAGACACCGTGCTGTATATTATTTTATAGCGTAAACTGCTTGAATTGAAAATTTGACGTCACCGATATTCGCGGCAATCTACAGTCCCATGGATACACACTAATTAGTTCGTATAACGCTATTCATAATACGTTTTCATAATTCAATCGTCGGCACATCTAACAGCCTTTATCTTGTACACGTGTTGTAATAATACGTACGATGTAATAACTATTGTAACTTTACATGGTAAAGTGCATAGGTGACTTACAATTAAAGCGCGGATTTGTATACATTTGTATATTTATTATGATTGATCGTATGATATGCTAAGTGAGCACAAAATCTGTTTCATGACATAACGATTTAAAAAATGAAACTTTTTTGGTGCATATTTTTACACGTCTCAACGTTTTTCTATTTTAAGGGATTATTTTACAATTTTAATAGCATATTTCATCTTTAGTTTACATTTTGATGGTTTTTTTTTTTTTTTTTTTTTTGAAATTTTTTAAATATATATTATTGCAGTCTATTATAATATCAGAAAAAAATAATATATTTTTATCATTTTAATTAATATCAAAATAAATTAGTAGGTTATAAAAGGTTTTTCCAAATATGACCTTAGATCAATAATCGAAAAAAATAAAATACGTATACCAAGATAAGAAAATATCGATTGGGTATGGTCATGGTTGAACATTGCATTATTTCACTATTGTTCAAAAACTAATTTTTTTATGCATATTCTAACATTTTAGTGCCTATATTTATGCATATTTAAGATCATTTAGTGCATATTTGGTTGGTTTTTAATGCATATAAATCTGCGCTCTACTTATAATTATATGCGTAATCTACAGGTACTATTCTTTTCTACCAAAACAAAAAGAAAATACTTTTATTTCAGTCAAAAAAATATTTTATTTGGTTTTTAAAAAATATTGTGATTTATAAGTATAAATCATTATTCAACACAGATCGATTTTATCGCAAAGTAATTATTTCATAATTATTATAACTTATGTTAAGTGAAATTTGCTAACTAACCTATTTATTACCTGAGATGGTGCAAATTAAATATCTTTAGTTTGGTCTAAATTACTAACGCAGTTTAAGAATTTTGGTGCAAATTAACTACGCCCTAAATTTCATGCTTACCGAAAAGAGGGTTGATAGAGATAGATTATACTTGATCCTACTTCCTATTTTTGACTATCCAACATTTTTATGAGATCAATAATTTATTCCTTTATTAGATAGTATATTTCTTAAAAAACACATCTAGTAGATAGTAAATAATTACTCAAGATAAAAATATTATGCCAATGATCATATTATCAACAAAACGTAATACATTCAAATATAGTTTATTCGGTTATTTTAAGAAAATAGTGT